CTTTTCAAAAAATAAATAAATTTCTTAAATGTATGTAAAACAACATAAAACTTTACATAACTCTTACTTTTTTTCTTTCAAATCATTGTATTCGTCTTGTTATATCAAGATATTCTAGTGGTCTATAACAACGCCTCAGAATAGATATTAGGTATAAATAATAAACTATTTCGCGTAAATTATTATCTATATATCTGTGAACAATGTCAATAAATTTTTGACTAACTATTGGATAACTGAAAAAAAAACTGTCCTAAACGATTGTAGGCAGTTGAAGAAAATCTATATGAGTCACTATAGAATCTGTCAAAAATTAAAATATTTTACATAGATACATATTGTATGTATTATTATAATATTATGTTTTTCGTTCATATCTCACTCTCTCTGTTAATTAAGTACTTTTTTAGCTTTATTAAAACTGCTGTTAGAAAATTTGTTTTATTTACCCATTCGTAATCTGAATATAATCATCATGGTTAAAATGAATTTGTTATACGTTTTATAAAACGGAGTGTTAAAAATATAATTTTTAAAATATTTGGAATTTAATAATATTTTTATTTTTAACACTTTATTGTTACATGGGTATAACGTTTAATGGTTTATTTTGATTGAATATTTAATGGCATAATTAGGGTCACTTTTCTTCAACGCGCTCAGTGACGATGATTTAAAATTTAAACCCGGAGTCCGTCTTAATTTTGGTCCCAATAATTCAACCACTGGAATCATAACAATTTTCGTCAGGCGTTTATAGGTATTTTTAACGAAAATTTCACGGCGAATGCAATATCCCCCAACGAAACCGGTAAACTCCGATTGATCATTTAGCATCACGATTGATCGTATACTTTATTTAGCAATCACCATTAAGCGTGGAATGTTGTATATACGACGTTGCCATATTCGAACCGCAGTTTTGTCATTTATTATTTTCGTGTTTAACACGCCTGCAAGCATTTTGACGCTGAATCCGACCATCCAACCTAACACCTTAAACGCGATACAAAATTGAAACTATATTTTTTGTACACATGCATTATAATTTTATGTACCTAATAAATAAATAAATGAGATCAGCACGTAATACAGGGGCCACCTGCTTTGAAATTAAGGTGTTTTATTTGAACTGCCTAACCGTACGCACTGACACCGGCACTGGCCTAAGGTACCGAACTTACACGAGCCGTGAGCCGAGCCCACGCTTTATCGACCTTGTCACCAATTAATATTATTATATTATTATGAAATAGTATAATTTTTCAACTCGTGCCATATATGTATTGTCTTCATTACTTAAACTAGTAGCAAAGATGAGAATGCTTACGTGAATGAGTGGAGTGACGAGTAAAGATAGGATAATACAAAATAGTACATGAGAGGTAACTATTAGGTATTGTTGGGCTTCGATAGCAAATAAAACGAGAGAAAATAAACTAAAATGGATTGGGCATATCATGAGGAGAGAGGAATCAGAAGCAATAAGAGTTGGAATGATAATAAACATAAGAGGAAAGAGCTGAAGAGGAAGGCCGAAAAAGAGGTTGTTGAATGCGATTGAAAATGATAAGAGGACAACCGCGGTGTATGCGGAGTTGGAGCGATCTTTCATGGTCACATGAAAGTTTTTTACGAGAGTGGCTGATCCCAAATATGGTTGAGTTGAATGGGAGGGAGAAGAAGTAATTATTTGAATTCATATTCTTGGTATAAAATGTAATTCGGAATTGTTTAACATAGCAAATGACAACATCTCAAAATGTTTTATGCTCAATCGATAATACGCGTACGTTAACGAATTTGATCAATCGTGTCTTAAAAAGGGCTATTATGCTCAATCGGATGATAGCCAACGAAACATAAATAATGGGTCGTAACTACAACGGTTATAATTTGGTTGACCGTCCCTGGCACGTTTATCGGGTCGAATTTCAACTCTTTCCTACGAATCGCTCATAGGTATAGTTACTATAACATTATGAATGAATATTTTTACGTTCGGTTAGGTTAGATTAGGTTTATAGGGGATCGTTTCCGGTAATTTTTTTGTTTTGACCGTTATTTTCCCATTCCACAAATATATAACGTGTTTATATGCGTTTTATATTTTCGTTTTATGATTACTTTTATACTTAGCATTTTTAACACGCGTAACAGCTGTAAAATTGCATTACAATGGTTTATTACGATAATATTGTGCTGAAATTCTTCATAAGTGTTAATGTTCGAGTGGAGATTTTGCACACTTGACATTTAAAACAAGACGAAGGTCATTGTCAATTTTCGATTCTGAATGGAGCGAGCAATGTATTGGTTTTAAAATGATGTTTATTTTTTTATTTTCCGCGAACAACTTTTCTACCAGTAATTTTGCTCCGATTTTCTCTGGCAGCAATTTTTCTAAAAGGGAACCTGACTGGGATGACATTTTAAGGCCATTTTTCGATTTCCCCAGGAGTTTTCCCAATAAATGGGAAAAACCGAAAAAAAAACATGGTAAAACGTAGAAAAAACGAGAAAATAGATACAATATTAAACAAATATTATTAAAGAAAATGTATAATTGTTTTACCATAATATGACATATATATTGTTGACAAACCAACACTATCAATCGAACTCCATTCAGAATCGTTTTTCGTTAGCAATGGTTTCATCATTGGTCATCATTGCTTACAGATGTACATTATATTTCCCTTCTAATAGTACCTTCTCAATTTTTCAGTGGCTACACACGTGCCCATTATCCTAGGACAGCTTTTTTCTTTCGTAGTTTAACCCCTATATATAGGATTGCTAATACTCGATATTTGACATTTTAATAGTTATGAAAATAAATTGAACTCGTTCAGTTTATTTCCGGATTGTAATTATTAGTATTCAATTTGGCTGTCGCAGACATGATGGAAAAGTACCATTTTTTCAAACATAAATTCCCTGACAACAACGATTAACGGCGGAAACGAGGAGACGGTGTTAAATTTTTTTTTTTTTTTTATTGATTTTCGTTTTTGAAAGAATCAAGCCCGGGTTAACATAATGCCGGGTAATTCAGCTAGTCTGTCATTAACAAAACCGTTATCCAGCAGTCCTGCCTTACCGCCTACATACCAGTGACCTATACATAATATATCCAGACGGCCATACCAATTACGGTACGTCCGGGTTTTAATATTTTCGTCGGACAATACGTTTGTTTGTTTGCATAAAATATATTACATCAAATAATTAACAATATTACAACAGTATACAGAAAACACAAATACATCACGATCATTTAGGTACAAGGGTGTGATCTCCGAGCGTGAATATTCTTTTGTTGATTTTACCGCGTAAACGTCGTTTTGGGAGGTTTTATTTAAGCGAGCCGTCTGCGCAAAATATTTCATTAGGACGATAAAACCGTGTTACCTATTGAAACGATTCATACACGTGCATGCACGCATATTATATTATCGTTCTATGAATTTTGTTTGTTTTTTTTTTTTTTTGTGTACCTAAATAATATTAAATATTATGATTATTAAATGTACGGCCATAGGTATTTTTGATTCTAAAATTGTTGACATTACTGTCGTGTACAAACAAAAAAAAAAAAAAAATTAATAAATAAATAATAATAATAATAATAATATTAAATAAAGTAGCGGACGATAATTTCCGGAGATTATATAAAAACTCCAAAATGATACACAAATGTTTGGTTGTTCGAAGAATTTGTACCCGTCGCTGTGGCGTTTGCAGTCTCCGCCAGTCTAACGGGCAATACGCCCATATTAAAAACGCGTTTACATAAAACAAACCAATAGACCATTTTATTAGGATTTATAGTGATTAAGGCCAACTATGAAAAAAACTGTTAGACGGTAAAATGTTGAAGACAAAAACATCGGCGGGTTTTCGGGAAACATCAGCGTACGCGTGCAGCGAAAGTTCCTGAGTTTTGCTGCTTTTGTACTGAAGAACACGCACCGCACGACTACACTCCAGTACTCCAGTCCCTTGACCTATCCGCTCTAGCTGACAGAAGGGCTGAAGCGAATATAACATTTATTCGTAAACTACTAAATACAACAACTTTAAAATTCCATCATTTTCCTGTGGGGCGAACTCTCCGTTTTTTTTATTCCTATTAGATTCACTACTAACTATGCCACGAACCAATCTCTTGTTAGGACGATGGAGATCGCAATGAGGACCCATCACTTTGGACGAATTAGTCTAGCTATACTATTAATCTTATTATTTTGTCAATTTATTATATTTATTTGTTATTATAATCTATGTATTGTTATAACACTTATAACTTTGGGCTTTTACTCGTATTTGTAACAAAATTAATAGATTAGTTACAGTAGAAGCCGCTTATAAGGAACACTTTTGGACCAAGATGAAATGTGACAATTGATCGATTGTTTCTAATAATTGGTTTTATTTGCTATGAGAAAAAAAAAAAAAAAGGTATAATTAATAAAAATATATCTACTATAAAAATAAAAATGGATCAGCTATTTTCTTTGTTATGTAAAATATGTACCTATATATCGATGTCTGTTTTTTTTGCGTCGAGTTACTTGATGATCATGCTTTCATAAGAATAATGTTGCTCAGAGCCGAAACACTAACCACCTCTTTACGTGCGAACACTGAAGCCGACGTATGAAAAAAAAAAACCGTTTAAGAGCTTAGTAGGTACTGTACTCACGATAAACAACAGTAAAAAGTAAACGAAATTAATGGGACAAATGGAATTCAGCATCGATACGTAAAGATATAGTCGAGATAAGATAAGATAAGATAATGTAGTACCGTAGTAGTATATTAGTGCCTCTAATATAGACTCCAATTGTTTTAAATAACCGATGTTTCGTTTTTCAATAATCCGATCAATTTTCAATGTTTTACGAGGGTTGTCCCAAAAGTAATGCACAATTTGCATAAATAAGTTTGAATTTTAATTTGAATAAATAAGTTTTTATTTTAAACTAAATACAATATTATAGACCTTCGATATAATCTCCCTGCTTGTCTATACACGATTGCCATCGTTTCGGGAGCGCTCGAATGCCGCATAGGACGCCATCTTTGTTGAATTCACGGATCCTTCGGCTCACTTCTTCATTTAGTATATCTAAGTTAGGAAAACGGATCCCTCTAAGTGGTTCCTTCAGTTTTGGAAATAAATCAAAGTCCGGGGGACTTAAATCCGGCGAATACGGTGGGTGTTTGAGGCGTTCCCATCCATATTTCTCCAAAAGAGCGACGACTGGTGCTCCGATATGCGGCCGCGCATTATCGTGCAATATGGACACACCATTTTGTAACATTCCTGGTCGCAATTTTTTGGCAAGGAATGTTTTGTAGTAATCCCCGGTTACACTACTGCCAATTGGAACTCGATCAGTGACAATTATCCCAAGTTTATCGTAAGCAAAAATCATCATTTGTTTCACCTTTGTTTGCTGGGTTGTTATCAATACTTATACGACCATCACGGAATCGCTGATGCCATCTTTGCACCGTACTACGATCCACAGTATCCGTTCCACACACTTCATTTAACGCGGCATGAATTTCAGGCACTGTTTTACCACGAATCGTTTTGATTTTAATGTATGCGCGTTGCTCAAAAACAGAAATGTGAGCCGACGAATTGTTCTCACTTTCGTTATCGCTCTCACACATCATCATACTTTACTAAAACAACTAAAACTGAAAACGCACGTGTTCGTTAGACTTCAAGCTACAAACTGGTACTAAAATCAGCTGATAATATCACATTGCAAGACAGCTAGAACGCGCTGTGCATTAATTTTGGGACAACCCTCGTATTATACGGTCGGACGCGTCCACAAACATTTTGTTTCAATAGCGCGATTCGGTTTCAACGATCCGTGTTCCTAATAAGCGGCTTCTACTGTATGCGGAAAATAATTTTTCGTGTATTTTGCGTGGACGAGCCGAGTCTTTGGATAATCATACTATTGGATATTATTGACAAAAAAATAATGAAAAACCCGACGATATTCCAATTTGAAATGCGGTGTCCGTACGTACGGTGGTCCGTCTCGAAACCAATACGCGCGCACAACAGTAATGTCGTGGGCATTATCGATTAAAAAGGTTTTCGTCGCGAACACGTTTTTCGGCACGTCGCCCTCGACGACGGCCCCTCTGGACGGCGCGTTTGTCATTTCGTTATCGTCACAATAAAATATATTATGCGGACGCTATCGAGCGATAATATTTCAGAGCCTCGGAACAATAACAATATAACATATAGTGGTAAAAAAAAAAAAAAAAAAAAAACAATACAATATTTACGCATAGTCGTAATAATTATTGCCGTTCGATAGTGTTTCAATAAATAATAACCGTATAGAATGTGACGGAATCCTGCGCCGCGTTCCCCGATTATAATAATGGCTATTATCGCCGCTGTTATTTTTGTATTATTATAATACTACGATGATGCCGATGACGACGACGACGACGGTGATGCGCACGCTCGCCGCCCGTAATAATGGTCATATTGTGTTCGCCCGGCATTCTGTAACGCCGCCGTAGTAGACGTCGTCGCCGTCCGTACGCAACAATGTTGTACCGCGCATCACGGTGATTGTAATTATAATTGTTATTATTATTATTATTATTTATTTATTTTTTTTTCTCCCCGAATAACCGGCGTACAATACGGCGTTTCCCGAACACAAACGGCGGAACGCGCCGCGCAACAACAACAATAATAATAATAATAATAATAATAATAATAATAATAACAATAATATATTCAGTTATTTTCGCGCACCGACCGCAGCGATATCGTTATATAAGCGTAATTTTACTATTTTTAACCTTGCGCCGTTACATAATAATTTGTCATTGGCACCCGGACCGCGCTCCGTTCGCTTCGCCCGAACGACGCACGGTGTGGCGGGCGCACCCGGCCGCCGTGTCGTACGTGTCGCAGACGTCGCCGGCGCCGATGTCGTTCACCCACGAATCTCCCCGACCCCGCGATACGCAATAATAATAATGAGATATTATAAATGGCGGAGCGGAACGACAAATTCGTGTGACGCGCGCTAATTGACAAATACGATTGTTTTTTTTTTCCCGCCAAATAAATCGCAACCGCAAATTGTGCACGCGCGCACGACTAATAATAACAGTAATAATGTACACAACACGTTGATGATATTTGACGGGGCGGTTTTATGCGGTAAACCGCTTTTCACCGTACGGGGAAGGGACCGCCGTTGGTATATTATTACGCGCTTTAAAACGTAAATAGCGTTGTACGACTGTACGGCGGTCCGAAGTGCTCGGCGGACGCTAATATTCAATGGGAATAATTATTCGGCTATTTTCCACCGTACGTTCGTATTGATCGACGCGAATTTCATTGATGGTTCCGATACCGCCGCCGCCGTCGTAACAATCGTAATATACGAACGGTGATTTTCCGAATGGACGAGTCGCGAATGACGGAGAATTCAACGGGAACTAAATAAAACAGAAAGCTCGTGCGACGGAAAACGAATAAACAAAAAGGTGCACGTGTACGCGGGTTTCGGTCGGCGCGGCGGCGGCGAACTGGGGCACGGGCGATATTGTTGCGCGGTCGGAGCTCGGACGGCGGGGGGGGTGGGCGTCCGGGGACGGCGTGACGACGTCGGGGTGGCGGCGTTTTTCGGGACGGGAAGTAAAATCGCGGGGAAAAACGTTCGGCGGCCCGGCCGCTTGAATGGACCGCGGAGCTCGCGAACGGCCGAAGTGCGCATAAGCGGGTCCGTAGCCGTCGATGTACGGGGGGGCGGCCGGCGGACGCTCGCACACACGCACACACGCACACACGTACATACATAAATACGGTATTTCGGTCACGGCGTATGGATCCACCTGCTGTACGGAGGCGGCCGTTCCCGTTCTCGTAGTAGTATTAGTGTATAATAGTACACGCGGATAGTCGCGGTGTCGGGGTCGACGGGGAGGGGGGCTACCCTAGGGGCTGGCGGCGGGCGGTCACAAGAGCTGGTGGAATGCCGTCGCGTCGTCGTACGCCGCCACCGCCTCCCCGGCGTAGTATACAACTCGCGCACGCACTTTACACGCACACACACACGCACACACACACACACGCACACGCGCGCGAGAGAGCGCGAGCTGCGGACCCATTGTGTGCGCGCGCGGTGGCGGCGTCCCATAGAAAAATAACGCCGACGGGCATCCCCGCCGCCCGTCCGCCGGCACAGCCGCCGACGGTACCACGTAAACGCATGTGCACCCCGTCCCACTCTGCCGCGGCAGAAAGCATAGTATATTATAGTCGCGCACTCCGTCCCGCCACCCACCCCCCCCCCTCGTCCCAAACACCGTTTTTTCGCGTGCGTTGTCACTGACGTACGTACCGCACGGTACATACCATTATAATAATATTATACACCGTGCGGCGGCAGAGCGCGCGCGCGCTCGCACGCGTGTGCGCGCGTAATAATACACTTGGTTCAATCCGGGAGCGCCCGCCTCGCGTTGTAAAGTGAGTGTGCTCCGCGGACGTCGTAGTCGTCGTCGCTGCCGCCGCCGCCGCCGTAGTATATTTCGTAGTAGTAGTAGTAGTAGTACGAGTAGTAGTAGTAGTAGTAGTAGTAGTAGTAGTAGTAGTAGTAGTAGTAGTACGAGTAGTAGTACGAGTCGTAGTAGTAGTAGTTGTAGTAGTAGTCGTTGCCGTCGTCGTCGTCGAGCGTTAGTGTGTGCGCGTGCTTCGGTCTCGCTCGCTCGACCTTCTCTCTTCTCCTCGGCCGCGAATAAAACACAATATCGTAACCGCCGCCGCGCGGGTTTTAGTCGCTGACCGGCGTCGTGCTTGTCCTTACGTTTGTTTGTTCCTCGTGCGTCCGTGTGTTTATTATCTGCCGGCGGAAAATGCCCCAGTGGCACGATTATTGTTACTATCGTGACCAACGATTATAATATTGTTATTATCGTTATTATTTATTTCCTCTAGTCCGGTAAGTAAAACGGATTACATTATTATTATTATTATTGTTTGTTTTCCCCCTACCACCGCGACAACCGGTCACGAATACCGTTCATTAATACGATATTTTATTAATTACAAAATACAATTATTGTTAAAAGTCGCAGCGCGCAGTGCGTTTGTTTGATGGTTTTTTTTTTTTTTCAAAAAAAAAAAATAAACGAAAACAAACAACCAAAGGTTTCGCGGCGCGCGCGCGTGTGTTTTTTTTTTTTTGTCCGTCGGAAAGTGCGAAAAACTCGCGTCGCACAGCTGCCGCCGCGAAAAGCCGCGCGCTTCCCGGCTATAACCTTGGACGCGTTCCTCGCGCGGAGACCGGTTTTTTTCTGCCGTGCACAATTTTTATCGCATCGCCAGACTCGTGCGTTCGATATCATTTTAATTTCCATAATTGATTTACGAAAAACGCGTTGACACATTTTTATTATTATTATTATCGCGATTGTTTTTGCAATAACAACCGACGTTTCGTAGGCGCGCATCATCGTATTTCGGAGGCGGCGAGATAACTCGCGCGTTCCGCCGGCACTTCGGAATTCCGTTTTTAGGCGATTTCCGAACGTCAAGGTCGCCAGATTAAAAACGAGTAAAAGAAACGGGATTTTCAGTAAAAAAAAAAAAAATAATAATAATAATAACAATAATGAACCCGTTAACGTGACCCGGCTGTTATTGGGGAAAAACGGGTGCCCGCGTCCAAACTGTTGCTCCGCGAGTACGCTCGTAACGTTTCAGCGCCAATCAGTCTCGTTTATGACAACAGTGACGAGCGCGTTTCGACACTGGAGGAGGAGCGCTGGGGGCACGTGGTGCGACTGCACACTCGAATCGCCGTCGGTACCGCGGTATTATATAACCAAGGAAATTCCCCCCCGATCCCCCTCGTCCCCCTTAGTCGTAGAATCAATCGGAAAACCCGCCAACCCGCGTTACGATTTCGGTTTCGGATGGTATTCACGTATATCGTTGTTAATATAAAATATCGGAGTATTGATACCGACGGGCGCGGATAGACGACAATATACACGGGCGCCGGTGCATCTCGCTCATTAGTCATGTGCGTGCGTGCGTGCGTCGTCGGACGCGTTATCTGCGATTTCGCGCGACTCGCGAGTTACGACTCCACACTGCCGGTAGGTACACGGGGCGGGGATACGGCGTCCTGGGGCCGTCGCCTCCCGCACGATCTTAACCGCGCCGACTGACCGGTGAGGGGGGAGGGCCTCGAGCAGGCCCCCCTAGCGTCTTTTAAAAGCCCGGCAAAATATTTTGATAATAATATTACAACGACTGTTGCGGTATCGCACGAATATATTAATTATTATTGTACACGTTAATTTTCGTAGAGTTTTGTTTGTTTTTTTCAATTATTTTTTGTCCGTCGTTGCCGCCGTGTCGATCCGATGAAAAAAAAAAATTACCCGTCGTCCCTCGATATGAGCTCGAAAAAACCGTCTACGCGTATATCCGAAAATCGATTGATTGCACGCGAAAAC